TGCATCTCCGCGTTTTCTCTCAGCAAATGCAGAGCATTCCCCGTGTAGTATTGCTAGAGTTTATTGTTTAGTTTTTAGGGTTTAGGGTTTAGGGTTTAGGGTTTAGGGTTTACCGAGGGTGTGCATCCGGGTATATATATATGTCTGTATGCTCGCCAGTCTGCTGCTGAATGAAAGCGGTGATAGTCTGAAGGAGCTAAATAAAATATTTGTATATACAGCCGGTTGCTGCTGCTTTTTAATTTTATATATTTGTTTGTTCCTCGACCAAATAAAAACTCTGATAAGTCAAATGTTGTACCCTTCACCTGTATACACAATAAACCCTAAACCCTCATAAACCCTAATAAACCCTCATAAACCCTAATAAACCCTAAACCCTAATAAACCCTAAACCCTAACACCCTAACACCCTAACACCCTAACACCCTAACACTCTAAATTCTAACACCCTAAACCGTCAAACCCCAAACCCTAAACCCTAAACCCTAAACCCTAACACTGTAAACTCTAACACCCTAAACCCTAAACCCTCAAACCCTAAATGTTAAACCCTCAAACCCTAAACCCTAACACCCTAAACCCCTAGACCCTAGACCATAAAACCCTAAACAATAAAACCCTCAGCCCTAAAACCCTAAACCCTAGTAACAAATTTCAACACAAAAACCCTAAACCCTAAACCCTAAACCCTAATAATAAATGACGACCAAGACAAACACCATAACTCCCCATACACCCCGCTGCATGCATCTGCAGCAGCAACGCCAAATCCAGCAGCAACAGCACAGACGACAGCAGCAACAGCGGCTACACCAGCAGCAGCAGCAGAGACAGCAGCATACAGCAAAAACACCAGAGCCAGCAGCAGCAGCAGCAGCAGGAAAGACGAAAACAACAACACCACAACAACAACCACCACCACCACCACCGACAACAACAGCAGCCGCAGCAGCAGCAACAGCAGCAGCAGCAGCAACAGCAGCAGCAGCAGCAGCAGCAGCAGCGAACCTGTGGCACCCTGGCGCCTTTAATATATCCGTATTGATCAGGTTTAATAAAGAAGGAGTTTTGTAATACAGAGTCTGCGGGGGAGACAACAGCTGCTGCTGCATCTATAGAACGAAGAACATCTGTGTTTAGGGGCCGAGAAAAAAAACTATTTATGTTGCTGTAGTGACGAGCTCCATATACACCCCAAGTGCGAGCCAAGCTGTACGCCTCCTCTAAGTCTTTTACACATATTTCACACACACAATATATATATATATATATATATATATATATATAT